GTTCAGTGAACCTGGCTTCCTGCTTGTCAGGTGATTGATCACAAAAAGTGATCCCACGACCTTGGGACCCCGCGACCGTCATTAACGCGAGTCAGTTGCCAAGCCTCTGAATTCTCATCACATAACAACCACAGGGAGGCTGCAACGGTCGTTAAGTCTGAAGAACGGCCACAACTCACTTTCTTTCCTGGGCCTTTAGATGAGCTTTAAATGAACTGTTTGTAAGACAAGGGTCACTTTCAGTCTGACCCCCTGAATAGGGTCTCCTGCTTGAGCAGGGGGTTGGTCTAGAAGACCTCCAAGGTCCCTCTTTCCAAGCCCTGTTAATCTGTGTCTCAGGCGGCTTCCCCTGTTCCCGAGTGAGGAACCGTCTTCTGACCCCCGGCAGCTACCACCTCAAAGCCGTGGCTGGAGGCGCCTGATGGCCGCTTCTTCCCCAGAGATTGAACTCTCTTCTCCCACTGGTGCCACCGTTCCCCGGTGAAGAAGAGGCCAACTCCGCCGAGGACTTACCCAGTTCGTTGCTGTCTCCAGCGCGCCGCGTGTCCCCAGACCCTTCCCCGTTTTCCCCGGAGCCCAAGTAGTCAAACTCGCTCAGGGCGTCCTCCGAATCTTCGTCGTCGTCTTCATCCTCCACCTCGGGCATCAGGGACTTGTTAGCCAGCTGCCAAGGAAAGCACAGGGCAGACGAGCTGGGTTAGGCCTGGATTCCTAATCCACCTGGAGGGGATTCCTCCCCCTTTGGCCGTAGAAAAACCGTTTGCCCGTTTGCGGCCTGGCACGCGATGGGAGACGGAAAGGCTGCAAAATATTCCTTGGGCAGAATTCACTGTCCCCCTTGACCCTGATTTTCCCCGCCACCCCTTCTGGGTGTATCGTAATTCATATTCTCCAATGGGACACCTCCATAGCCAAGAGTCATCAATCATGCTCTCCAAGTAGATTTTTGCGTGGCAGAAGCTTCAGTCATCTAATCAGTCTCTGAGGAAAATATGAATGGAATGTACTTTCGATTCCACACTGCCGCCTGTTCTTTGAAAACTCCCCCCCTTCTTTCTGTTGACAACTATAAAACGCGCATACAAAATGTTTGATGAGTTGACAATTCCCTCAATAAAGCCTCATAATTCTTAGGGTGGCCCTGTTGTGAAGCTGCAACGCTTCTTGAGTGAATGAGCAGCTATCACAATGGCAGCAGGCTGATATTTGGCTTTTTCAACTTGAACAGGAAAAAAATTCTGAAACCGTATCTGTTCTTTTAATTTGCATGCTGTCAAATGTCTCTGCTGAATGACTCTTTATTTCAAAACAATGCATTCGTACTGTGGATTCCGCTTAGCGAGGGTAGACTATAGGACATCTTTGAAAAACCCCAAAGTAGCCAAAACAGTTTCACTGACTGTATATATGATGTACATAATTTCAAGTAACAACTGATTTTTGGACCAAGCAAGCGGGGACCGAATGTGTTGTAAAAATGTCAAAGCAGAGTTGTTATAAACTATCCAAAAGTGCCAGGTCGATTTCTGTGCTTTCTCTTTATAAAACTGCTTGGTTATCCCAAAATTATAATTCAAAAATAAAGTTTTTGAAAAAGAAAAAAGGAATGCATTAAAATATCATGCACCCAAAGCCAAAGACACACAACTAATTGTACCCGCGTGGTGATTGATATCCCGCGCTTTTAAAGCAGGGGTGGCTCCAAGCTTGGGCGCTTTACAACTGGTGGACTTCAACTCCCAGAATTCAGGTCACAATTCTGGGAGTGTGTTCTGATCCAGACTTCGTCAAACGTTAACTAAACACAAACTTGTTTTAAAAGCAAAACCCACTTTAATGCAACACAAGACTGGGAATTATTTTCATTCACAGCCAAAACTAACTCAAACAGTTCTCCCAAGATAAGCACACGCCTGTCAGCGCTGTGGAATGTGGCCAAAAATAGAAGTCTCCAATTGTAACCGAAACCAACGGAAGTAACAGAAAAAAACATCCAGAGCTGCAAGGAGGACTTGGAATCTATCGAATGACTTTGCTTCCTGCAAAGCTTTCGACACTGAGGTCTGACTTTTATCCCTTATGGGAGGGGCCAATCACCTCCCAGCCTTATTCCCGAGTCGCCCCCCCCCTTTTCACTCAGCTGCTCTTGCCTTGTAGCAGCTCTGCGCATACACACACTGGGAACAGGCTCCCCTGGGTCCTCTGCCTCGCTGCTGCCAGAGACTGGAGGCTCCGGAGTCAGCACCCCACCACCACTCCCAGATGGTCCTGGCCCCATCCCTGCATTGGACGCAGGACCCTCGTCCGAGTCCTCTCCAAACTCCCTGACTGGTCCCCTTTCTTCTCCACTGTCCAATTCCGCTGCCGGCTGCACCGGCTGCCGGCGAACCAAATCAGAGTCGAAGTCCACCAGTCGTAAAGTCGTCAAGCTTGAACACTCCTGATTAATAAGCCAAACAAGGAATGGACAAAAACTTTCACACTCTTGAAATGCTTCCAAACTGTCCCAACAGGTCATAAAACGCCCCCTTGTGACTTGCATGTTTCCTTGGTCAGTTTTGCTTTAGGAATTTGATTGCAAGAACAGCTGAAATCCAGTTTTCACCCTTCGAAACGACGACAAGGTTCGAGGCCTCCCCGGAAACTGGGTCCCGCTCAGCAGCTTAGTGTCCCCTGCCAGCCCCCCCCCCAATAAGCTTCAGGAGCAGAGGGGGCACCTTTACGCGCTGCTTCTTGTGCTGCCGCTGCGTCTCCAGGGACAGGCCTTCCAGGTCCTCCTCTTCGTCACTGTCGTCATCCTCGCAGCCCCTCAGAAAGGGGATCTTCTCCATGACGGGGTTACTGACCCGCTCCTTCACTTCCTTCCCTGCGTTCCTGCCAGAGAGAGAGAGAGGAGAAGACGGATCTTTTGTCGCTCGGGGTTGGACTGAGGGGTCCTGGGTGCTCTCTGAGCTTGGGGGGGGCGGGGTTTTCTTGCAGACATCTCAGGGCCCAACCAGGGAGCATTATCAATGCTAGAAAGGAGTGGAATTTGCAGAAAGGAGGAGGAGGAGGAGGAAAAGGGGAAGGAGAGGGGGGGGAGGAGGAGGAAGGGAAGAAAAGGAGAGAAGAAATGGAGGAGGACTGTGGAGGTCCTTGGTGTTCTCTGAGCTTGGCGGTTTTTCTCACAGACCTCTCATTACCCAACTAGGGAACATCATCCATGCTACTGGCCATCACCTGAGTGACAATATCGAACAGGAACTACGACGGAAGACAGCAAGTCCCTCACTTCCTTGTTCCAGGAAACCTAACGAGAGCCGCAGTGACGGGTGCCCGCAAACCGAGACACCCCCCCCCCCCTGCGAGGTCATCCTCTCCAACCCGGACAGAACCCCCGCCCCGCCCATCCCCAAGCCCCGCCCCTCAAGGACCGCTCACCTTTTGATCTGCTCCTCAATCTGCTTGACGAGAAGCGATTCCCCTCCGTTGAGGCTGGTGGCCGCCAGGGCTGGTCCGGGGCTCAAGCCGCTGGCTTCGGCAGCCCCGTTCAGCTCCATGGAGCAGCGGCCCAGCAGAGAGCGGACGCGCTTGGAGCGCATGTCCAGGATGGTGTCGGTGTAGCCCACTTCTTCCAAATACCTGGGAGGGGAAGAGACCCCGGGGGCCGAGGGAGGGAGGGAGGCAGCCTTTAGTCCCACGGGAGCGGGGGGTGGCAACTGGCAGGCAGGCTTCGACTTTGGCAACCAACCAAAGTTATGACGGGGCCTCTCCGGACCTGGCTCTGAACAACCGACGGCCCCCCAGCTTCCCGGTCACGTGACCACACTCTGGGTGCTTGGCAACCGGCCTGCTTTTACGTCCAGTAGCAGCATCTCGTGGTTACATGACTGTGATTTTAGCCCGGGGTTTGCTGGAAACCGGCACTTCCTCTTTCCAGAAAACTGGCCTGTGGCTGCTTTGCTTAACGACCGCCACGCAAATCACATCTTAAAATCAGACTGGACCCGTGGCTGACGCACCTTACGAACATCCCGCCTTCATTTATTTAGAAGGCTTGACATTTACTCGTTTATAAGACTTAACGACCGTGATGGGCAGGGCTCCCTTCCGGTCGTAAGTCGAGGACTGCCTGCAAAACGTTTTCGAAACATTTGGCTCAGAGGGCTCTCCCAGCCAGAAAAGGACCGGGGTCCTTCACGCAAGGATGGAGCAACTCTGTCCAATTTGAACCTGGCACCTTTCATTTGGGTGACAAGGAACCTGACACGCCCTTTGCTAAAACTGTCCAAAAACAGCTGCCCCCCCCCCCCCCCCCAACCACCCCCGGGGAGGACCGGTGCACTTCCCCTCCCTTAGGGGGACCCCCCTCCCCCAGAAAGCCACCGCTACTCACTGACGGAGGAGTTGGCGTCCTTCTTTCCAGATGAACGGGCTGTTCTCCAGGGAAAGGGGCTCCGCTGGCCCGTTGGACACTAAGCGTAAAAGAGGGTCCCATCAGCGTGTCCCTCGGCTCCGGGGCCCACCCAACAGCAGCCCCGGAGCCCCCTGGCCGAGGGGCAGCCCTGCGCCCGGCCCCACTACCTGGTTCAGAGGCCTCTGGTTTCTTTTCTCCCTGGTTCAATTCCGTCCCGAATTTCAATTTGTGGTATTTTGACCTGGAATTAACAAGGGGAAGCCGTGGAAAGGATGTGGGATGCCAGCGGTAATTTCTCGCTGTGTCCCTTCAAGTAGGGAAGGCCTTCTAACCGAAGGGCCGACGTCATAGAGAGGATGTTGAACAGGGAAGGCGCTGGCCTAGAAAACAGGGGGCTGGGAGTTCTAGTCCTGCCTGAGGCACGAAAGCCAGCTGGGTAGCTTTGGGCCAATCACCAGGAGACAGGGAGTTCTAGTCCTGACTTAGGCTTGAGAACCGAATGGGTGACCTCGAGCCAGTCCCTCTCTCTCTCTCACCCCAACCCACCTCACAGGGTTGTTGTTGTAGGGTGAAGGAAGTTGTGTTGGATATTTTCACAGCCTCGAGTTACTTATAAAATAAAGGCAGGATAAGCTTTTAATAAATAAATACACATCCACACGTACTGTGAGGATATTTAAAAAGGAGAGAATCCCTCAAGAGCATCTTCCCTGCTTCCCAAAATTCAGGTGTTGACTTCCAGCTAAATAAACTAAGGCAGGAGTCTCCAAACTTGACAACTTGTGGACTTCAATTCCCAGAATTCTCCTCTCCTGGCCGGGGAGTTCTGGGAATTGAAGTCCACAAGTCTTTAAAGTCGCCAAGTTTGGGACCCCTGAACTAAGGGGAATCTACACCCCGCCTCCGAGTCTCCACCTGGGACAGCCTGGAGGGGATGCGACACCTGCGAGGCGGCTCACCTTTCTTGCTTCAAAGCATATTCCAGCATCTTGATTCTCCGCACGAGGTCGGCCTTCAGGTTCTCCTGACCCTTCCTCTCGCCCTGCAGGAAAGCCACTTGGGCCTAGAAGAGGCAGGAAGCCCAAGTTAAGGACAGGCCATTCTGACCAGCTGCACAAACACCCCGCATCAGACAAATGGTGTGTGTTAGGAGGAGCAAAAACCCATAGTAGAGCATCCAGTTCTGATCACAACAATAGAAGATGCTGAGACTCTAAAAAGTGTGCAGAGAAGAGCAACCAAGAGGATAAGACCTCTTGCAATAGTTAAGGGACTATAGTTAAGGGACTTAAGATTGCAATAGTTGAGGGAGCTGGGCACGCCTAGCATCTATGGATGAGAAGGACTAAGGGGGACGTGACAACGGTCTTCCTGTACTTGAGGGGCTGTCACAGAGAAGAAGGGATTGTGTTATTCTCCAAAGGAGGAGAGGACAAGAAGTCATGGGTGAAAGCTTGCTAAAAAAAGAATCAACGATGGAGAAATTTTCTGACAGAGAGTAGAATTAATCAATGGAATAGCTTGCCTCCTGGGGCTCCACTGCTGGAGGTTTTTAAAAATAGACCCGACAACCATTTGACTGAGATGGAATAAGATCTCCTGCCTTGACCAGGGGGTTGGACTAGAGGTCCTCTTAGGCCCCTTCTAGCCCTAGGGTTCTGTGTTCAGTGAAGTTCAGTGTAGAGAAACACTTCTGATCTTGGCATTTGCCTGCTTTTCCTGCTAATAATAGAGATGAGATGAGATGAGATGAGATGAGATGAGATGAGAAGAGAAGAGAAGAGAAGAGAAGAGAAGAGAAGAGAAGAGAAGAGAAGAGAAGAGAA